ATAGGCCTCTGTAAGTACAATTCGGTCCACGCATAGCACCAAAATGACTATATAAACCTGGAGGAACGTAAGTGGTCAGCGTCCTGCGTGGTGTGCGCATTAGTACGCGAAAGTCTATTGGTAACTCAAGGAAATAATTGCTAAGGAAGGCCAGTAACTTGTTGATCATGGAGGTTGAAGATCGGTTTTGAACGACCCAGTTACATAGGTCATCTTCGTTATTCTGGACATCAGAAGGTATGTTATGTAGTACTCGCACAAATGTTATTGCCATTTTTACTCACCTTGGGTGTCAGGTAAATCGTGGTATAGGATTAGCGTGCTAAACGTGTTCGCCGCAACAACCGAGGAACACAGTGAACATAGATCTGTGCAAAAGATCAAATCTCACGCACTGTCTCAATTGCGGCTACCTCCTCTAAGGGTTCATTGTTGGTAGACGCAGCAACTACACTTATATGTTGTGCGTCTTCGGCTACACGTTGTTTCATTAATCTCCGACGTCTTCACAAAGTTGCTGCATGAGGTATCACATCGGGGCAGATGCGCTAAGTCATTCGCCTAGGCATACTTAAAAATATGTGATATGGATGTCAATTTCATGCAGACAAAAGCCAAGGAAGTGCTTAAAACTTATGAACAAAGCGTGTATACACATAGTGGGCCGCAGTTAATCTATGCCGCAACGAAGTGATAAGTACATGCGCACTGACACTGCTAACGAATACACCATAAGGCGTATGCATGACCATGCATGGTCATGCAGCTATTGCCCAATACAGAGGTAGCAGTCCAAGTGCGACAAAACAATTCCCGCAGGAGAATGGCGACCCTTAATTGAAACATCAAGGTCATATAGTGTTTCCCTGCTAAAGTAAAACGAAATTGCAAAGGCGACAGCCTGTTTGAAAATAAGGCATGCATTAAGATAATTTTACAATATATGTGTGCTTACGAAACAACACAAAAGTTAGTTAGTTTAGTTCCATTTGAGAAAATAATAACCGTCAAATGTTGCGATTTTTCATAAATATTCCACGAATTTCCGTCGACTGTGCTAGCTGGGATCCGTCAGAAGGTGAAGAATTGGACTATTTGTACTACAATATATCTTTGGTTACAAATTTACGTGGATAAATACTTATGATACGTAGTTAAATTCCGGCCACATTTCAGTAAATAAAGTGGAAGTGTTGCAGACCAAGTGAAAGTGAAACTCCATGCTTAGTCAAAACTGCTCAAATTTGTCAACCTCCATATGATACTGTAACCTTTTGAACACATCCGCCCATTGTTCTGTCGACAGGTGGAGTGTAGTTGACGTAACCGGAAACCATTCTTTTAACATGTCTGGTTACTCAAAACGCACGTTTGGTGGTCTACGACGACAATGAGATTTCAAGTCAAGATAAGGCAATTTAAGAATGCGTTTCCATGCACTCTCGATGGGTGCATTTTCAGTCATCCTTCAATCTCCAATGCGTTTTGATCATTTATCAAGCAATATTCTGCAGCATGCGATAGGAAAGAAAGTATACAGATTTTATGTGCGCCGAATACATTTATTGGACGTTAAGCTTCAGTCCCTTGAGCTCCATAGAAACAGTGTTGACATTTCTCGGAGTTAACTGGTCAAACTTGGGATAAGTTGCCGCTCACCGGAGGCAGACGCCTCCTCCGATTCTCCCCGTGATTAGCTGCTGTTCGAAAATGCAAATTCAGAAACCGCACACAGTTTACATATTCCCCATTGATTTGAAAATTATTTGTCTTTCACAGGTTTTGTAGTCCTTTGTTAAAACCAAGCAAACCGAAAAGTTCCACCATGGCGATTTTGATTACCTTCGACACACTGGACGGTAGACGTGTAACATACTTTCTTCTTTTAGCCGTTATTCGTCAGAACGATGTTTACACATTACCGAAAGTTATCACTTATTTGAAGCTATCGTACAGAATCGCGCGGAACAAATAAACAGCGAATGAGAAATAAGTTACACTGAAGCTCTTCAAACAATGATCAAGTGAATTGTGGACAAAAACTGATGGACGGCATAGGTTGCTATTCAACAGTTTTGTGAACACATTATAGGTGCTGCTAAGTTAAATGATAAGTATAAAACAACAGGCCTTATTAGTTTAGAATTTTTTAATCCAGTTATATTGACGCATCGCTAATAATAGCTGCCATTATTAACACGCCCATTAGTGCCTTAGCTGACTTATTGTTCATTTGATACCTTAGCATACAGTTGTGATTTGAACTAATCCTTACTAAAGTCGAATTCTGTTAGATACATATTTTCATGCGTGTAATCTGCAATCTGAACGAAGATGACGAAGAGCATATTACAAAATCTGGTATGTAAACGTATTTAACTGCTCTATAAAATATGGACAATAGCTTTGTGAGCTAGGTTTTCTTCAAATGAAAACAACCACAGTAATTTTGTTTCACTGAACGATTTATACGTTTTCGTATATAAAGCCACAAGTTCGGTTTTGATTGTACTTTCTAATTGTTGGTCATGGGGACGCAGCCGATATGCTCAATATTTTATATGCAGCTATATGCACACCCTTTTTTAAAGATGGGCGCCGTTTAAAACATTAGAACTTTCATTGTTATTAAGATAATTTACGAATAGAACATCGGAAACTAAACTTCGCGAACAAGCTTGTTTTCAGCGTTTCATCACCCGACTAAGACAACCACTAGTAATTCATCCAGAGGAATGTGAAACCGCGAGTGCCAAAGAAAAACCCGTTTCCTTGGAGAAGCGGTTAGTATAATTTTCATTACCGTGTGAGGGTGATGCGATAGCAGAACGGGCAATCTGAAGGCTATCCATAGCAACAATGAGAACGTAGTTTGCTGCTGATCTGCGCGTTTCACCTTAACACCGAATGAGAGTCAGCAACAAGTATAGGATACCATGGTCGTAGATTTCCTTATGTGTTTACCATTCCTTTTGCTCCCATCGAGCAAGGTATTTTGGCCTCATGCTGAAGTTGGTATTGCATACATCATACTTGTGCACAGTAAGATGGCTACAATTAAGCTAGATCTGCTTAACGTGGATAAAAATATTCCTCTCTTTTTGTTTTGCTCGATTCCATTATTCTGTTGCATATTCCGTGTCAATTTACACATTTATTTGATTGTGTATTATGTGTTGGTTGTTTGATATCCACCGTGTGGCTGGGCTACATGTGAATGTTGACAAAATGCCTATATGGCTAGCACCCACCACCAGGATTACTGATTGCAGGAGACTGTGAATTGTTGCTGGGGAGGGGAGGGTGTGCACTGTCCTAGTGGGTGTATTAGGCTCAAAGTGTGGTTTCATACATCCAGTGTGGAGCGGGCTACTTCCCAGCTGCCTCCTCGTGTACGTCTGTTACGGATGGTTTCACAATTAGACATGAATGCTTCTGCTCTGTTTGTTGAAGGAGTGTGAGCCGGATACGCTGATGAAACGTGGCTCACATCCACATGCCTCCCGGTCTTATTCATTCGGGTCTACACTGGATATGGGGTGTGTGGACGGAGCTGTAGGTGGTGCAACGCATGCCACCCAAGATCCCTCTGTAGGCGCAGGCGTTCTGTGGCTTTCCTATGGAGGCCGCAGGGACGGGCAACTCCAGAACCCGATGACGCCAACCATATTGAGAAAACGACCAAGCGAATGTCCATTGGAAATTAAAAGCATTGCCCAGCTTGGTGGTATGAGGAAGGAGTTAACGAGTGCAGTTTTGCGTACGGAATAGATTCCCATAACGCATGCGTACCAATCCAATGTGTACCCTGAGTCGCACACGAACGGTCAGATGGCTCCTGCTGTCGACAGCACAGATGACCGCAATTCCGCTCCACAACCCGGACCTATGTGCACAGAAACACTTGTCCAAAGCTTCACACCACCTTGGCATCCGGTCCAGTTCATGCCACTCCACCTTACTTCACAACAATCAGATCAATCATCTCGCCGTATCCATCAGATACTTTGTTTTAGTGACTCACTGCGTATAAACCTATTGTATGCGTCCTAGTCTGCCTTGTATTGGTTGCATTAGCTTGATGATAAAACCCTGAAAGCAAGCTTGCACGATATTTTTTGTTTCTGATGATACGTTTTTACTAGTTCTCACCTATCGTAACGGAGCAGTTATTTCCTTCCACAAACGCAAAATTATGTTCTCTTAGCTATGTGCATATCAAACCATTTCAAAATATAAAAAGCCCAAAAATAATGCAAAGTTTTCGTTCATTGCAAGACGCGGGACATTAGACGCCTATATGTAAGAAAAATTCTTCTTTTTGCCACCAGTCATTTTATTCGCATTTTCGCGTTGCAGAATGGTAGAACGCCACGTTTTACGTGTTGATATATTTGAACTGCCATTTTAGGAATGTTTTAATCGCACCAGTCCCAAACATATTTTCCACTGGACTTATCAACTCGCTTCTAGAACCGGTGTAGGAAAACAGCTATTGTTCGCCAAGTCATTTAATTGGCTGTTAAGTCCACGACAGGGGTCATACGAATTTCATATAACCGCTGCACATCACCACATATAGGAACAAACTAGCTAGCGCGTCCCTAGCGGGCTCACAATCCAGATATATCATGCTTATTTCTCTCGAAAAATGAGAGCAGTAAACTGCCAGCCAGCATCATCACCCTGTCTTTTCCCTGCACTTCCGATTTGCGAAGAACTCAGATGATTCTTTAACGGATGCTTTTGCTCGAGCACAAGATTTTGCAACTATCAAATGTGGATAGACTCAGTGTATGTCGTAGATTTCCCGCTAAGCTTTTTGTCCGGGAATTCCTACACATAATTCTTTAACACCGAAAACTGTTGGGTTCATTCCAAGCAATGAGAAAGCGAATCCTACTGGCCCGATTCAAATGTAGCCATAAAATGGTGCTACTTTTTTAATTGGTAATCAGCTTGAATCATTTTAACCTATTTCGACTATTATTTTAATTCAGGTGAACGTTCTAGTCACTGTGCTGACAATGTACACACTGATGACTAACACTCATCGTCGAGCCATCCGAAACCTATCAAATCACAGCGCCGCATCATCTTCGCAACAACACATAAACCGACCATCAACGGCTCCGGAATCACCAAACGACTGTGCGCCGCAAACTACTCCCCGGGCACAAATCTCATCACCCCGAACAACATTTGGCCAAGGTTACAAAATTAAGAAACTGAGTGATGAACACACTGATTCAGCAGATTACAAAGATGGTGAGGATACGAACAAAGGCATAGATACAACGCACTGGCTTGATCATCGAGATACAACAATCATGGAAGGCCAAATTAATTCCATCAGGTTTCGAAGAACTACACTGGAACCGTGGTAAGTTTGTGTTTATTTGATAACAAAAACATCGAGAAAAATAGCGCAGTGTGCAGTGAAGCGTAGGTGTGATATGTTTTGTATTATAAATCGGAAAAATAACGGATTTAACATGATAGACTATATCCAGAGTAAACTGCACTATATACGTTTCTGTTTAATGCGTAGTTTCGGTTCAAAAGACCTAAAGCGCTGAGCTAATTTGTTGTTGTACGATATCTTTGCTACAGGCAAAAACAACAATCACCTTAATAGGAATATATCAGGAACTAACGCGAGCTGATATCTACTAAACTGGTGATGCCCAGTGGTTGAAAACTTTAAAAGACGATGGCTTCAAATTTTATTTAGTGAACACGCTGTGTGGTTGGGTTGCGAGTCGCAACTTCTGTTGAGACCTCGATTCACTGAGATAAACCTCGGTCATTGCTATCTCGCGGACCGTATCCGGAAAGGAAATGTTTGGGTGTTGCTCCTCACATCACTGCATAATTTGAAACATATAACCGTTAATGAATCTGTTTTTCATGAATGTAAATTCCGATTTTGATTTACTATAATGCTGCTTCTTTGACATTATTCATCAGTCACGGGTCCATCTTAGATCTGAAGGTGGAAAGATAAAATTAATGAAATGTTGCAAAATGGGTTTTAACTGGTTCTTCGTCTCAACTATTTCGCAAATAATGTGTTTATCATTCCGTTACCAATGATTTGGATGGATCACCAAACAGTCTATTGTTCTTGTTGTGGACGCAAAAATACATGATTTATGCAAAAATGTACGTACAGTTGTCCTTAATAGAATAAAGTTATCATTCAGCTTACTGTGATCTTCGAGGTGGATATTTTCTATGACGAAAACTGGCTTTGTTAACAACGTCTAATCCCCACCCAGAGTTGCTTATTGTCACAGGACGGAGTTGCGTCATGCGTACTGTTTTCGGATGTTATATTTGTTCTAGTTCTGCACTGAAAGTTGGTCTCCACTGATGGATAAGCAAAGAAATACTTTAGTCGGTACTATTTACGATTCTCTTGTGGCTTGTTTTGGTTTTGTCACGAAGTGTGGTAGTTTTGGACTCGTTTTATGGGGACCTGCATTCCTTACTTTACTGGTTGCTACCTAGACAGTCCTCTATAATTTTCTATATCGCCACAATAAAAGTGAAAACCAGTTTCAGAATTATTGGTCAGAATTTGAGTCTCGTTGTCCTCCGAAATTTACGCTTAAGCCATGCCGAAGTAGATTTACGTTTTGAAATTTAACATTTGTATGTTTTCTTCCACCTTTCACACCATTACCTGTCAGAAAATTTATGTGATTACTTTAGACCGTAGTTTGAGGCGGAGATCATATTGATAATTCAGTATTTTGCCTCAGAAACATTGCAACTCGTTTGAACACGGAGATGACCCGATAAATCTGAGTGCAGTTTCCCTATGGTAATTAGCTTCGAGAAAATGTTTGTCATTTGGTATCCGTTTGCAAACCTTTAAGCCCACATTAGAGATGCAGTGATAGGTGTGAGGTGCTTGAGTTAGATCAAGCCGTCGCTTAGATCAACATTGGTTGAGTGTTTACTGTTGACTACTTGAAAATCAGAGCTTCACTTAGCGGGTGTTTGAACTACGGGTTACTTGTGCAAATTGTTTGCTCTCCGCTGCACAGACAGTTCATATCACACACCATAAGCAGATACAAAAGATTAGATCTAGTGTTAGTAGACGAGAAAATTAATATTGGCAGGTTATCTACATCCGACTTGCTCAAATTTTCTGAAGCAGACGGTAATGCAAATCGGATGGGGTTATTTGCACTCATGAAAACGCAGTTTGCATATTTCAGTACACAGTCTCACACACATTCATCGCGAGTTATGTGCCGGTATCAAACTCACAGGGACCTTGGCTTTCCACTACCAGTTCACTGGGTATCGTACATACGGGCGCAAGGCTGGGGCAAAAAGATCAGCACACCCAGAGTTCAATAGTTATTGAAACTTAAATCTTACCATCCAAAAGAGTTTAACTGCTGCTTTAAAAGCATTTGGGAGGTTGACATTTGTCATAAACGGCAATTAACCGAAAGTACTTGCTGGATCATGGACTGATGCGCAGCCATGTTAGAATAAGTTGAAGATCATTGTCCTTATCTTTACTTAAGTTCGAGCTATTGCATATCCATAAATGGGAATCCCAGATTCTATACATGTGTTATGCAGTAATGCCCCGGCTTACGAATTGGTTGTACACTTTCTTGCATTATATCGCATCAATCTACAGCAAACAATGTCTTCTGCGCTACATTAAAGTTATCAAGAAAACAGTTTCATTTACGGCAACTAAGAGCCTTGAAGGCGGGGCGTGCATTTATCACTGAACCTGTAGCTGGAGCACATCATACACCCGGCACAAATATTTCTGCAATAATGCAGCCAGTCACTAGCGTGATTGTTAAAATAGTTAATTCCCCTCAATAGATTGAATAACACAGTGAAAAGATGAACACAAATAGGTGCGCACACTTTGCATTGTCTCATCAGTAACAACAAAATAGCAGGTAATATTCGATAACGTTTAAATTGTTTTAGCGACCAAGCAAAATGCAATGAGGTGAAGGGCGGCGATGGTCGAAGGACCAGTTCAGCCAAAAGTCAAGAGCTGTTTGTTTCTGCACACACAGGGCAGGTTTTACCTGGTTTATCGCCACATTATTGACGAACTACAAGAAGCGTGTATTGGGATGAAGTGATAACATCCGTAACGCGGAGCCTGGTTGAATCCGACGACATGTCGACAAAACATATCTGCCTATAGGCGGTGTTGGCTGCTGGCGTGTACATGAAATATTTGACAAGAAATGACTGACCTCCAGTTGATTCGCCTCACACTGAACACAGTTGAGCAGCTGCCCCTTCCCCTGGGATTCAAAACTCCCTCAGTTGCACTCAACTTGCTAAACAATGTGTTACGTGGCGTTGATGGAAGCATCTTCCTTTACAGAAGCTAGAAACATTTTCAGAATTTTGTTGTTCACCGCAGCATCTGCAGCACGGTAGGTTTTCTGAATGGTATTGGACGGTACTTATGAGACAAGTCGAAACGCTCGCATCTACCAGTAATGGTCCATTCATTGTGTTATACAAACTAGCGTGATTGCAGGAAGCAGTTCCATCTGGATAAAGAAAAACAGCATTGATTCAAACGTCAACGCATAAGGTTAACTCTGATACACTTGGTAAAACTAAAGGGGATAAACTGGTAATTTGTGTCTACTTCAGTCAGCTACTTATAGTGGGATGACCAATCGCAGTCTATGGGTGTTGGTGTGTGTACTGCAAAGAAAGCAGTTACTTTCTGCCGTTGTAAAAGAAGGGATAATTACCAACCAATCAACACTGGTGATGAGGCGGAGTTGTCACCTCGCGGAACGTTGATACTGAAGCATCGAAATATTCCATCGTTGCAGTGGAATATTTATGGAAAACAGGCTGCTCTGGTCCATTCCCCTTTCAAATTAGCTTCATTACGAGGCTACCACGATCCGATAATTATCCGGGGTGCAAAAGATGGCTTCAGAACAGCTTCGTACCACTGACACGTGGACATATCTTAATAATAATAATAAATAAACATAATAAATGGTTACCTCTTGACATCGATAGCTGTATACCTTATGGCTATGAGCACAGCGGAGAAAAAACTGGTATTTGACAAACACGCCATCAGAACAACAGTGGTATGCAGCTATCAAGTGTGTATAAATAATCGGGAAATATATTATGGATAAGATTGCAGAACGCTGCTCATTAAAGGACGCAAATAAATTAAACTGATGGAACTGGATATATAGCCAAATCTAGTCGCAGCAAATCGTCGAGCGAGATAAAAAACGTTTTAGGCAAATACAAGCTTTTTGTATTAATTTTGAGCAAGATTCTCTTTCTCAGATCTATTATAATGCAAAAAGTGGGTTTAAACACAAAAATGGTACATGCATCCATTACATCTCTTCTCTTCAGTACCATTAATAATAAGCGGTATGCAACTAGTTACTTACCCATGGGTGTGTCCAAATAAGCACGAGGTGAAAAGTGAATGACAATGTTCCGCCTCTGTGTCCATGGCAGCCTTTAGCTGACAAATGATTGCATTTGCACATACGAAGTCGATCTCATCCGACTTATTGCGACATCCTGGACGAATGGAGGAATGGCGGACTAGGGCGAAGCAACTTAATTGCGTATGCTAATGCAAACCCTATCAGGTGCAGAGTAACAAGTAGGTGTGTATTGATTGAAGAAACTGGCGACCAGTGCGAATTTCAAGGCAGCAGGAATACCGGTCTATTTCACAATGATCGCACCTTCGTAGTGTTCCTTTATTCTGGTAATCGAAAGTGTATTGGTTCTTCCCATATAACTGTCTTCGCAGTTACATACAAATTTGTATATGCAGCGTGAGTTAGTCGCGATTGCTTGAGCTTCCATCTTTGGAGGCGCCTGCAAGTTACGAGATCTGTTAATGACCACAATTTGAGCAGCTCTGTAACTTCTCTGCATAGTAAAGATTAAAGATTCATTAGCCACAAACACAGTAAAGTCACACTTGCAAAGTATCCCGTTAAACATGTTTATTGCTTGGTAGCTTGTTGGCTTGGTAGCTTACCTATGCGGCTGGTAATATAATTGCGGTGAACCAAACCAAAAAACATAGTTATTAAACTACGCGTAGCACCGATCGCAAGTTCTACATATACATAAGATGGGTCCAAAGTCTTCGCTAAAATTTACAACATAATAATAATATACAAATCCAAGCTCAGTTGTTCGCACTCATAGATCGACAATCAACTGCATAGGATTAGAGGTAAATGAGTCAATGCACATGAAGTCGTTAGCGTCACCAGTCGTCCGAGATGCAAGTGCACGTGGGTCGGCCAAATTGCTTTTGGTTGCATACCCATACTTGAAAGTAGTATACTGCCAAAGTTTACT